AAGGAAATAACAGAGATTTCCACCTCGGTGTTTTCACAAGATAACACTCAACGAAGGACCTCCGTGAGCTAAAGGACACAAGGAAAAGGCAATGCATGCTATCCTCAGCGCGGAAATCAGAAAGTATGTTGACTCTCAAATTTAGCCGCAAATTGAAAGTACCTGGGAGCTTAACAAGATACTGGTGGGTAGCTGGATTCCACCCCCACAGGCAGATGCATGGCTCTGGGGTGCGCCCTGGACATTGGTGTTTTATTTTGTTTTGTTTTTTAATTACTACGTGGATTATAATAAGCAGCAAAGTTTGAGAATATTGTTTTTGTGTCCTTAATCAATGATATACATATACGAAAATAGCCAAGTATAAAAAGAGTTAATTTCCTGAGAGTTAACACCGTGATAACCATGACTCCAGGAAGAAATGACACCCCACCCCACCCCCACCCAGCCAGGAGCCTTCTGTGTTTACTTCCTAGGCACAGCCTTGAGTTCAAGCATAAGTCAATCTCCCCTGTCCTATCTCTACAGGCGAGGAAAGCTTGACTCCTAGGTTACACACTTAGGAAGGCTTTCTGGAAGAGGTGGGATTTAAAGGTAGGCGTGACGGCTGGTGACGAGCGACACCTGTTACAGAAGAGGCAACCAGGCAGCAGTGGACCAGAGTTGATTCAGGCCGTGTCAGTTTGCCTGACTTCCCTGCCAACGTGCTTAGCTACTATGCACATACAATACCACTTTCTCCTCTCTTACACCGACACCAGGGCTGTAGCTAGAGAGAGGTGGCGCAGGATCGAGCCCAGCAGATGAACGAAAAACAATCAAATACACGAAGTAGACACGAGGAGGAAGAGGAAAGGGTGAGGTCCAAAAGAGGTGGCATCTCTGGGCTTAGAGGAGAGAAGTGCAGCATATTGGAAAGAAGAATTTTGCTGGAGGGAGGCGTGAGGGCAAAAGCCTGTGCAGGAAGCATGGTGGCAACACGGTGTCTCTCAAACCACTCCACCCCAGAGCCCAGTATGAGGTAGGCTCTCGGCAAATGCTTGCATCTACTGCATTGGTTTGGAGCCCAGGAGTGAGCCTCATAGGGAGGAAGGCATCAGAAGCCTCCTTTGCCTGTGTCAGGATGGACAGGGCGTTTGTAGGCTTCCTGGGCTCTACTAAGAAGACCACGGAACCCACCCTGGACCAGATGCTCTCTCTTTGTACTGAAAAGCTTTCCACACCTGATTCACCTCTTATAATGCTCTGCTTTTGAATGGGATAGGTGCCTTGGCACCAGATTGGAATTACCTGGGAACTTTTAAATTTTTTTCTGATTTTCTGGCCATACTTAAGATCTAACATATTAAGTCTGGGGGATGGCCGGAGTTTCTTTATCTTTAAATGATGATGGCGGCAATGATGGTGGCGATGATGGTGGCGATGATGGTGGTGGTATGGTAGTGAAAAAAAATGTCCACGTGATTCTGATATTCACCAGGGGTGAGAACAGCTCTTGTGGGGACAGAGGTTGAGCCACACCCGTCTAGTTATGTCCTTACTCATCCTGTACTTTGGATCCCAGGAAGCTGAATTCCTCAGACATAAACCCAGCATTATTGTAAGACCTTGCTTGACTCTTGAGAGATGTTTCCCAGGAGCTGGGTGTGTATTCCTCTCAGCCAATTTCCTCATTCTGGGAATATTGACGGTATCTGCGTGTCTTACTTTTCCTGTCCTTGTGAGAACTTCAGGAGGGACGAATTTACCTGGACTCTGGACGGAAGGGGATTGCATTCAACATGACGGAGAGGGCATGGCAGCACTCATGGTGGGCCACAGGAGTGGCCCCTGTCCCTGACAGTGGCCGTGAGGGACAACTTGCCCGCACCCCATTGAATGAGAGCACAGAGGGTGTCTGGGGCTAGAAGCGAGGCCAAGCCCTATTACTCTATGTTAGATCCGCAAAGTTCTATGTTCTTCCAGAACAGCACCACCCCCTGGGGACCAAGGTGAAGCATGTGAGAGCGCGGGGGAACATTTCATATTCAAACCATAACAAATATCTCTTTCATATTCTGCTACGTGCGCCTCCATCTGAACCATAGGTGCTATTTCTTCTTCCTTACATATATGAATTTTTAAACCTAGCTAATCACATACTTCAGATAACTGCTGTAAACACAACACAGCGTCTTTTCCTGGCATAGAAGGCAAGCCCCCATTAAACTGAGCAACTCAAGTCACGCCGCGAAAGTTCCGCTAAACCCATTGTCGCTCCCTAAGCTTCCCAGCCCAAGTTCTGCAGCATCAGGGTTAAGTGTAGAAGTCAGGCAGGCGGGGACAGGGCTCCATTTGTAAAGTACTTGTCCTGAAGAACAAAAGCAGGAGTTGAACCAAGCAGAACACAGGTAAACGCCGGGTGGGTGGGGCAGCCCACCTCTAAATCTAGTGCTCAGAAGGTGGAGGCTCCGCATCCCCAGGCAAAGCCAGCCAGTTAGCCTGGCCTGTGTTGGCAAGCTCTGGGCTGCACTGAGAGACTCTGCCTAAATGAGGGAGCCATCATGGAAGACCCCTGTTGCCACATGCACCCACACACATGTGAACATGCTCACACCCACGTGCACACCAGACACAGAAAACATCAATAAACAAAAGAGTAGATGGCGGCACAGGTGGCGGGCCTGAAAGAAACAGAGTTTCTCAAAATGAAAGAGGTTTAAAAGGGAAGGGGCTTCTCCTGGCGCGGTGTAGAAATGTGTTCCCGTCTAAACCTGTGCCCTGTCCATTGGGGTGCTATGGCGTTCTGCTTCCCCTGGCACAGACGGCATCATCACTGTGCAGCTTATGCCCACATGCCTAGGGTTGGCACCGCCCACAGTGAGCTGACCATCTCCATCCATTAGCAAATAAGAAAATGCCTTACAGACATGGCCACCAGCCAGGCTGATCTGAGCAATTCTTCAGCTGAGATTCTCGTATCCCAGGTGACATTAGATTTGTGTCAAGTTGACAGCTGAGGCTAACAAGGACAACATCTTGGCATCCCCTGTATTTTAGGGCAATGCCTTGCACCCCTAATATATACTACAGAGATTTGTCAAATGATGCCTTGAACATAATACCAATCCCAAGGCTATAGGTTTCCAGAGAAGGGGATGGTGAGCTCTTACCATCCCCTGTTCCCGCCCAAGTCTATGCCTCCTCTTCCTGGGACTGTAGAACTGTACTCTACAGTGGATTCTCAAGGTCAGGACTTCCTAAGCGCATTCTGGGAAGCCATAGTTGATACCTCTTGGTTAACACTGCCAACTGTGGCAATACAGGATTCCTCTGCCTCAGTTGCCAAGAGCTAGGCTGGTGTGGGGTGAGGTGGGGAGGGGTGGATGCTGTCTGGGTGGCTGAAGCCAGGTGATGTTGTTACCTGTAGTACACATGTAAGGTGGAGGTGTTGACAGCGACTAATTGGCACTTTACAAGCCCTAACAATACCATCACGTTGTGCCTTATGGGTAGGGCCGGGTGAGCTACACTTCCTGTGGCCCCCAAGAACTGCTGAAAAAGACCGACCTGAAATAGTTGTAGATGGTAATTGCCCATGAGGAAGGGTCAGTGTGGCAAGAAGGAAAGGGCATGCGGAGACTTCTGAGGTCTCATGGTCAGGCCTCATTACCAGTGGATCCATAGTGGGGTGGAGCAAGAAGCCAGATAAGATTCCATTCCGGTGGCCACAACAGCAACATGGCCCCTAGTTCCACTCAGTTGTATCTATCTAAGCATGCTTTGGTCTTCAAGTCAACCATAAACAATTTGACTCCTGAAGAAAAGAGACTCCAGGCCATTCTTAGGCTGAAATCTATTCAACTGTCAACTCCAGAACCAGGCCTGTAGCCAGTAAGGTTCCCATCTAGAAAGTCCAAGGGGAGGGGGCAGGTTTTCCAAGCAGCAGACATTTTGGCCGCAGTGAAGACTGGGTAACATCTGTGGAAAGGTTTGTCATCAGAGCAGAGGGCAGGGGCCGGGCATCTGGAGATCAGGATGCTTCCAAGCAAGCATCCTGCATTGCGCTGGACCACACTCATCTCTGGCAAAGTAGTGTGTGGCCCACCATGCTAACAGAGAGGGCTGTAAAACCTGGTTGTGGGTACCAAGGTGAGCGCATCCTCATGAGGGCCTTGGGAAGGGTGGCTAAGGAGCAGGAACTTCTGGTGTTGTTTTAAGGGCAGCTGTATCTAGTCCCCTTACCACCCTACTTCCTCCTTCTCCAAGGTTAGAACCTATCTTTGACTTTCCCCGGCAGCCCCATTCAAACTCCAGATTCAAGCCAGCCTTGGTGGCACAGGCCTATCACCCCAGCCATCCAGAAGGCTAAGACAAGAAGCTCCCAAGTTCAAAGACCTACCTCGCGATGAGTTCAAGGCCAGCCAGAGTAACCAAGTTGTCCCGAAATTTAAAAAAAAAATAGTGGAAAAGGGTTGGCAATGTAGCTCTGCTTACCCAGCTTGTATGGTGCCCTGCGTTCAGTGCCCGGTACCAGGTTCACTGAGATCCTGGCTTGACCTCCTTTCGCGGTCTTTACATCCTACCTCACTAGGAGAGGTCCTTCAGGACAGGGATGGGGTCATCCTGTTCACCGGCGGGTCTACGACACATTGAAAAGTGTCTGCTGTGCAGTGGTACCCAGTGACGGGTCTATGATGGACCGAGGGCACTCTTTCAGCCCCTAGCACCCACCACACTCAGTTTTCGTCAGGCCAAGCCACTCTGACATTATGCTCCCACCAGGACAGGCTTCCTTGTCATTCATTGCACAGCTATTGGGTGGTGGGGGCGGGGGTAATATGAGCTTTGCCACCCTTGAGAGTAGAATACGACAAAGGAGCCACACCTCCCTAAGAGCTTATAGTCTGGTGTGGCCATAGGTCATTATCCACAAAGAAAGCTCTGCACAGCATCCCCCCTCCCTTGACAAGCCGGGGGGGGGAATAAAATAGAGAAATGTATGTATCAGAAAAGTAGACCTCTGGCAGGTGACCGGACACCAAGGGCACATTGTTGGAGGGGGTCATTCCCTGCCCCTTTATAAACGCCCCCAGAGTCAGGGTTTACCCATCCTCTGTCGCTGCTGTGACTCTAAAGCAGGTACACAGTAGGAGCTCAATAAACAGTGGAAGGGAACAGAATGAAGATTATGGGGTTAGCTGTCCAGGAGGCAGAAGTTAAAAAGAAAAAAATCCCACTAGCTCCAAGAAGATGGAAGGACAGCGATGTGAACTTAACTAGCTGAGAGAAGCTTATTTGCAGGGGACAGGTTGAGACTAGATATGGTCCCAACTCCCTTGTCTGTCCCCCAAACAAACCTAGGTTCTCCCCTCTCTAAGGAGAGACTGCTTCCAACTCTGCCAGCGCCTCCCCCTTCCGTCCCACTCTAACCTCCTTCCCTCTCCCTCCTCTCATCTTCCTCCTGGGGGGGGGTGCGTCTAGACAGGGTGGGCACCCCATTGCCCCAGCTAGGAGGACGGTGGCTCCTAGCGCTGGAGCCTGGAAGGCAGGGTCTCCTGTCCCCAGCTCCTCTCCCAGGCAGGACACTGTCCCTTTAATAGACTCCCTCTGCCTGGCGCTCTGCGGCTGGGGAGTAAATTTCTCGCTGTCATCAGGTCGCAGGAAGAAGAGGAGGAGTTTGTTAATGTACAGTTTGTTCAGCGGGGATCGATGTTTGCTGGCATCGCCTTGCCCTGTCTTGTGTGTGTGTGTGTGTGCCTGTGTGTGTGTGAGAGAGAGAGGGAGAGCGCGAGAGCGTGTGTGTGTGTGTGTGTGTGTGTGTGTGTATGTGGGGGGTGTGAGTGTGTGTGTGTGTGTGAGCGAGAGTGGTCGTGTGTGTGCATGTGCGTGTGTGTGTTTGTGTGTGTGTGTGTGTGCGCGCGCGTGTGTGTGAGAGAGTGAGTGAGTGAATTCCAGATTTTCTGTCTTTCCCAAACCCGCTCCTGTCCTCTCGCATATCACTCACAGACTGGGATCTGACAGCAGCGACAAACCTACAGTGAGTGATCTCTCCCCAGCGCGAATCCGCCATCAAGATCAGGGACAAGGAGGAGGAGGAAGAAGAGGAAGAGGAGGAGGAAGAGGAGGAGGAGAAGGAGGAGGAGGAGGAGAAGGAGGAGGTGGAGGAAGAGGAGGAAGAGGAGGAGGAGGGAAAGAGAAGGAAGAAGAAAAAGAAGAGACCCACTGTCTTCCCGGGATTGTTTTCCCCCCTTTACGCGCTAGTGTGCGCGTGGCGCGTGTGCGCCCCTCGTCCCTGCCATCTGAACCCCGTCTTGGATGTTTAATAAAGAAATCAAGTGTCTCACCAGTCACCAAAAAAAACAGCAAAAAGCAAAACCAAAAAGAGAAAAAAAATCCAAAAGCAAAAACAAAAAGAGAGAGAGGGGGAAAAAACCAAACAAACAAACAAGGCAGAACCAACCTCCACTTGCAAGCAGCAGGCGCAAACCGCTTATCTGCCACCCAGAGAGGGGGTCTCCGGCCCCGCGCTGGAGCGCTGGCAGGGGGATCGTCAGGGGGACAGAGGCCGAGTGACGTCCTAGGAGCCACAGAAAGACGAGCGAGACTGCGGCCCCCGCGCGCGGCTCGGGGCTGGGGCGCCAGAAGTGAGACTGGAGCTAAGTAGAGCGATGCCAAGGAGGAAACAGCAGGCACCCAAGCGGGCTGCAGGTAAGAGATGGCTCCGCTCCGGGTGCCCGGCCCCTGAGCCCGGCGCACAGCGGCTCGCCCGCCCTCCTGGCCCAGCGCTGGTGGGGACGCCACCCCCTGGCGCTTTCAAGAGGGTTAGCTTGCGGGTACCTTCTTCATCACCCCTTCCTGATCTCCCCAATCCTCCCCTCTTTAGGCTCCCTCTGGGTGGTGGCAGAGAAGCTGTCCCACCAAACCTTCCTCACTTAAACTTTTCCTCCCTCCACCCTCTACCCCACCCCTAACTTTTTCTTCCAGTCTGGCTTTTTGCCTCTGGAGCCAAAGTTGTATTGTGGATTTGGGGTGCAGGGAAGGGAGAGACCCCCCACATCCCTCTGAGAGGTCAGTGCTGGCGGCTTCTGGCCTCCAGGGACAGAGTCTCCGTCACTGTGGCTCAGGGCTTGCAAGTGTGAGGCATGTCCACCAAGCCTGGGGCTGCAGGCTGGCTTTGGGGGCCCGTGAGCCACGAGGGTGTAGCTTTGGTCGCCAAGGTGCAAAAGGCACCCCCGGAAACGAGTGAAGCTTTGAAAGTATTTTCTAAAAGGATTCACTGTTTATAGAAATCTAATCACCCCTTCTCCTTTTCTCCAAGGGAGGGGGAGGGCACCCCATAGAAATTTAAACAGCTTTGGATTTTCTTTGCCAGAGAGAGCTTTGGAAACTTTGCATCTGTCTTGATTGCCACCATGGGAGCTGTCCCGTGGAATTCTTTCTTGCAAGGACCCTCACCCTAAAGATCTGAACAGGTTAATAGATCCCTACTACAGATCTTCAGAGGGTGCCCTCCCCCTTTTGGGTTGCCTAATTGCTTTTTGAATAGTATGCTGGGGTTTTGCTTCTCGGAATTGTAAGAGGAAAGTTCATTTTTCTCCTGCCAGACCCACCCACTGAAAAATCAGCTTTCCACTCGATTGCTAGTTTTGATTTGACATTTGATTGATCACCTGTCATCTCACTGCCTTTGATCTATTCATTCTGATATATATCAATAAATCACTCACCATGGTAACTCCAAGTGCCAGTGACGCAAGCTCTGCCCTCTATACTCAGTGAGAGACATGCACAGTCATTATCTTGTTGGCTTTAATGTGGGCGTTTTTATTTCTTTGTGTCCTTTAGTTGATCAGGGCTCTAGCAAAATAGCTTAAGTTTTGTCTTTCCCCACCGCCCCTTTCTTGCTGACTCTCCTCGTACTTTGGTGAGCACCGGTAAGGCTGATCAGGCGACCCACCAATATATTTAATTCTGTTCCAACTTGAGTCAAGCATGGGAAGAAGTTCCCAGGACACTTGGGTAAACTTTGCAAAGTCACCATGATAAGAGGGCTGGTGAGTTAGGAATCTGGGGAAAGTGGATATGTGTGTCTGGACATGCTGGCTACCAAGTTCATAACCCTTCCTCCCTGCCTGCCTCCAGCCCAAAGAACAATACGTGTGCTTCAGAATGGCCACAATTTCCTTCCCTCTTGAGTGCAGGATCGCTTCCGTGGCCATGTGTAGGTTGCTTTGAGTTGCTATAAAGCTTCCATTCACGGATTTTCAATTGTTTCTATAAAAGCAAAATAATGAAAATAGCCTTAGCAACACACATTTGCAACTTGTCTAGGCAGGGGCTGTTCTTTTCTCAACCCTGGTTACCTCTTTTGAAAACAATAGTCCTCTTATTTAATTTTATTTTCTTTTATACCTCACACTGCCTTGCTATCTGACCATGTGAGGGTGTGTGATGGCCTTTGAGACTTCAAAAGAATCGGTCTGCTGCATCTAATGCTGGCAACATAAGTTCAAGTGTAGCTGGATTACCAGAGATAGCATCCTTATTGTTTGTTGTCCTGAAAGAGAGCCCTGGGCTGCAGTCCAGCAGGAATGATACTGCCCTGAAAACTACTGTGTCCCCCCCCTTCCTTGCAGTTCCGGTAAAGGCCATCAACAACTAGGCAGTAATTTAAATTACCAGAATGACTGGACGAGTCTCCTTTCACAAGCTCATTACAAAAAGTGCCTTGCTCAGAATTACCCCACTTTAATCATGATTACCCACTGATCAATGACGATCCAGGTGTGCAGAAAATGACGTTGTACCGTATTATTTAAATTAGGTCCTTTCATTAAGCTGGTATCTATTGGTGATAGCAACTCATTTTATTCTTGTTGTAGTAGTAATGCTAGTACATGTGTGTGTGTGTGTGTGAGAGAGAGAGAGAGAGAGAGAGAGAGAGAGAGAGAGAGAGAGAGAGAGAGAGAGAGAGAGAGCGTATGAGTGTGAGTGTGTGTGTATTAGAAACTTGTGACCTTACTTTCAGTTTTCTGGCCGATTGGCTTCTTAGTGTCTTTACCAGACTGTTTTCAGGATTCTCGTTATGTTCCCTGGAAGAAGCACAAATCCTTTCGAGCTGAGAGGGGGTAATTCATTTCATACACAGTGAGTTCCCCTGCTTTACGGTATTTATTTTTCTGCACATTAATAAGGTGGGTTGTTTCTCCTGCAATGTGCCTTCAGCTCATCCGAGCTCGCCCATGCCCCACTCTGTTAGGACTAGTGAAACCAAGTTAGCTGAAGTCTTTCAGCCAGTCCCCATGCGGACAGGGGAGAGTGCTTCTCAGGCTCTGCCTGAGCTAACTTGTACCACTGCTTAAAATGAAAGACAATGCACAACTGTAAGTGATTACTCCTATGGACTAATGTTGAAAGCTTGAGGCCTCGTTTGATTAATGAATAATAGAAGATAGAAAAAGCCTGGAAGTGAAGCCGGGCCGAAGCTCTCCTGGAACTCTCTTTCCCTGAATAACTCTTCCAGGCTGTTAGATGCCGTCCCAGGATTCCGTTTAAGGGTGGTATTTCAAGAAACTGGTGGCTGAAGTTCCTAATAAAACAGGTATCTGTGCAGAGCCCACAGAATGGTATGATAAGTGATGGAGAATTTTCATCTTTATTTCTTACATGCCTCCCCCTTCAGTACGTGTGTTTGGGGGGGCTATGAGGAAAGCGATCCTCTTTAAGTAAACAGCCAAGAGAGAACATTTCTCTCAGAAATATTATTGGTCCTCACTCTCTGAAGCTTTGCCCTTCCATGGTTCTGGGACTTGAGGCCAGGAGAAAGTTTACAGAGCAGCTCTCATGCCCATATCGTGTATGTGTGGGTGTGCTCAGCTCGCCCTCTTGACGGTGTGTTTGGTTCACCATTATCGTGCATCCGTCCACTTTACCTGAGTCTTCAGGAATCTGCCTCGGCATCTCTCCCCCTTGTTCATTTTTAGGGAAGATGAAAAAGACGATGGCAGGAGGGCTGAACAAAAAGAAACCGTCTTGATGCGTTTGCACTTTATAGGAGTGTGTGGATTAAAAAAAAAAAAAGGTAGACATGTTCTCAAACGTTTCTTTTCCTAACAACCCCAGCCGTGTGGTCTGCATGCACACATAGCAGAGATTTTATTTCAGCACTCAATGCTATTATTTTTATAGTAATGCCCGCCAGTTGCGATGGGGTATGAAATCCTGTGTAATCACGTCCCTGTGAGTATATCTAACATGCCCATAAGTTATATTCCCCTGCCTCTGCTCCCCTCAAGCCATTCTGTGCTGCTTTCTTGTAGGCTTGTGCTAGCTTCTGATGATGCAGTTTTTTTTTTTCTTTTTGTGGGGAGTCTGGCAGGAGAAAGCGTCTCCCTCAATTTATTTTGTTTATTGAATGCGGAGATGAATAATGCAGAATTTGTTTTCATGGGTGTCCTTGTGTAGCAGTAAACATTTGACTATTAGCAATCATTACTTAAAAGTTGCAATTTGCACCTTAATAGCATAGGTTATTTACACGGGAAACACATTCAGCAGGGCCAGTTCTGAACACACCGTGCGTCGGTGGAGTAGGAATGGCCCGAGAGATCTCTTTTGCTTCTTCGGGACAGTGTTGTTTCTGAGTCGATGGGTGAAGTCCCAGAAATTTCAACTACCACGTAGGGGCAGGAGCCAGGGGCTGTAAGTGAAGTTTAATCTACTGTCGAGTAGGGTGAGACAGGGAAGAACAAGAACCCGGAATGTTTCTGGACCCTGATTTTCTTTGCTTAAACATCCTTCAGAAAAGCAAGCTTCCTTTTAAACACTGAAGTGTCCCATGTTGTAGATCTCTTTGCTTACCATAACCATATGGTTTTAAGACAAGGACACACACACACACACACACACTCACAGACACACTCATGCCAGCCCACGGGCCTTCAGCAACAGGAACGTTTAGCTATCTTGTTACTTCAGCGGCCAGGTGCCTAGGAATGACTTTGCCCTCACAGAGTTTTGGGGTTGGAAAGATTCTTTATGTGGTCCTTTCTCCAGGCCTCTCCTGCTCTCCTCCCACCTCTCGGCTCACCCTTAAAGGCCCAGATTGAACAGGACATTTCAAAAGCGCATTTGTTTTAGGTATTTATTGATTTCATTTTTAATCTGCCATCTCAGGACATAATATATTAACCCTAATCCGAAGATTGCAAGTGGCAGTACTCGGAGCAGAAAGGGGAGGAGAGGGCACTGGGAATTTCGTGCAGTGAAATCACTGAGGCTTTTGTGAGTGTGTGTGGGGAGGCTGGAGGGGTTAGATGCTTGAGTGTCAACGCGCTTCTCAAAAATACTCTACTGTTCTTCCTCCACTTTGTGTTTCTCACTGCTCCCAACCAACTCAGTTTCTTGCTGCATTTGGGGAAACTTCACACTCCATAGACACCTCCTGTGCATCTTTAGACTTGGTCTGCAAGTATCTTGGCTATTGTGACTTTCTCCAGCAATGGAACAATCCTTACCCCACCTCTGCTGACTTCCCATCAGGGGTGGGTTTTTTTTTGGTGGGGGGAGGGAGTCTTTCCAACTGGATAATGCCTAAGTTTGTCTGGGTTGGTCTACTTCTCTTCCCAAGGCTTGAAAATGGAGGGAGACTTGAGCTGGCATTATTTAAAGCCTGATGATGAAGAGACTCTGCCCACCCCTGCAGCAGA